TTTGAGGAGATGTCATGATTCATTTGATTCAATTCTCCATTCATAAATCGAAAGCTTGGGGGGCTGTCTGGGTTGTGTTTGGCTCTGTGTTGCTCACTAATCAGGAAAATGTGACGCTAAGTGAGAGGTTTTTGTGAGGAGTAACCCCACTGACTAAAGCATGAAGTTTACAGAGTAGACTGGAAAAAAAGATAGTGTCCAGGGTCTCTTGTGGTTGCATATCCCCGCCCCAGCAGGTCCCGGGTTTGTATAAATCAGCTCCAGCTTCATGAGAATCCAGCACAGATCACCCTGTTGAACAAAACGCAAAGGAGCCCCACTGCAATGCCTGGCATGGGTTTCTGTATGGACAATGACAAGGTGTCCTTTCAAAGATGGATTTTGTAGACAAAAACATGTGGTTGGACTTCAAAACTTTCTTCTTTCTAATGTAAACCTATTCTAGCAAATTTACCAAAATGCCTTCACGCCCCATAACACATTAATCACTTTCTTCTCATTTTAAATGATTGTTTTTAATGCCTTTGCTTCTGCCAAAAAGGAGCACAGGAAATTCTTTTGAGCCACCACCTTTCTGTAATTTAAAGCTGCATAATACAACAGCAACAAATCGAACCAGTTCAGTCAAATCACTAATGCATCTTCACTAAGTCAAAAAAGATTGATTTCATGTTATCATTATAAGCTGGCAGGAGCAAAAAGTTTGTGCTGTGTGATCATTTATTTGAGGTGGTATTATTTTTTTTAAATATTACATTTCACTAAACCCTGTGGTTCATTTCTTTTGCAGGCTCCAAATATACATTTTCATATAATTTCTGCTCAAGAATTGTAATTCTGCTCACCTTCTCCATAGCTATAAAGCAAATGCGTACGGTGGAAAATCAGTTCACATTATTTATTAATGATTCACAAGTTGCTAGATTTTTTTCAAACTCGTTTTGACCTTTAGACAAAATTGACTTTCTGCACAGTCGATATCTCTTCTGTTCCATACACATTTGGAAAGCAACAACACAAATGGTGGTAGAGGAAATTTACCAGTTACATTTGTTCTCTCAGCTTCACATCATCCTATGAGACCAGATTCATTGTCCACACAAAAACAAAATCCCTAACCTGTCAGTTGACATTAAATTAATTTGGAAATTTTGGAAAAAACATGAAGCATATGTTTGTTTATAGAAGCTGATCATACAATCTATTTGCTGCTTTTTGTAAAAAGTATCAACACTATTGCAAGACAACAGAACTCTGCCTTCGCTTGATGTAATTTGATCACAACTAAGTCAAATTTGCATTCTAATCAGTGCTTCTCAATACATAAAATCACAATGACAAGCTTACTCTAAGCTTAAAGCAGTCTGTGTCTGCAGGGGGATGCGCGGCGTAATGTTTCCCAAGGTTTCCAGTGGGCTGATGAGTAATGCAGGCAATCATGCTGTCTGCACCGGCAAATCATTATTAATTTCCTTTTATGGGAGAGGAAAAAACAACAGCAGCATTTTGTTTTTGCTGCCTAATGTTAGCCTCATTTTGCTCGCTTTTCCAGCACATTTCCACCTGTAAAAAACAGCCTCACATCCTCTGCCCTCTGCCATCAACCCCACGCTCAAACATTTAGCGCTGTCCCTGTTTGTAGAGCTTCTCCTGTGCAGAATAGGTGCCCCTCCTAAGGAACCCTGTACTGCGTGTGATCATAGCTCCTTTGGCAGAAGAAGGGCTCCAGAAAACTACTGTATCAACAGTTTGAACGGCTGAACTGCTGTCCACTTTTTGTCCAGGCAGTTGGGTGGGTCAGCTGCAACTGACACCTTCTGCAAACTGAATGGATAAAATCACGTTAAAGGGCTTGATAATCCCTGTGGCATCCAACTCCACTGCCTCCCTCATTGAATCCCTTCATAATGAGCAGATCAATGCTCTGGTATCAATGGCTCGGGTTCTGTGTGTCTCCGTGTGCTTCCCTCTCATTTCAGTGGTCACTCTAGACGTGACTGTGCTGTTGTGAAGAAACCCACCGTAACACAAAGAACTCAGAATTCATGTACAACTTACAGGAGTGATGTGCACAGTGTTCTCAGTTCGACTGTCTCCTCATTTATGAATTCCATTGCAAAGTGCCTCACAGTGGGAGTGGGCTCCCCACAGTGAGGAGTTCTAGTATTTCAGAACAATGTTTTGTATCTCAAACAAAAGTAAAGCAAAGTAAATATATTTGAGTGCTTTGATGTCCCTTTTTATAATCCCTATGGTCATAAATAAAGAGTGGAAATAATAATCATGTAATAAATAATAAAGTAAGAATCATATGACAAAGAAAGACAGCAGTGCGACAGAGAGGTATCAGTATAATCTCAACCCATCCATATGAACGCAGTGGGTTTTTTCACTATGTAATGTATTTTCTCTTCTGACAGCACACTTTCTACATATGTGCACACCAAAGTGTTCTGTTCATCTCATCATCTGAATTTGTTGAGTGTCCAAATAAATGTGTTTGTATTTGCATGTTTTTATGTCAGAGAGCCAAAATTAGCAGGTTGGAAATTGTAGAAGACATTACATAAAAAATCTGGCATTCTGGTGGACCCCACACTGTCTTCTTGCATATGTTTCACAGTTACTACAATAAAGAAGGATGCGTCAGAGCTTTTCTTCGCCATGCTGGACCGATTCTCACTCTGGCTGCTTTGTGTTAAGATGATGGTTTTTCCTTAAAGGGACAGCTTTGTGAAGGTCAGTTCCTAAAAGACAGTAGCCACTGAGAAAACAGGGAGGATTTTCAATCTGTCTGAGGTTAACAGAACTTTACCTGTGTTTTTGATAAACCTGAGAAACACTGGACTAATGTTTGTCTATGTCATAAAAAATTTACAACAGTTTAATCTATGCTCATTAACCTCCCCATTACCAGTGAATATGTTTGTGGCTCACACTGTATTCAGAGAACCATTATTCTGAGATCTTGTCATCTTCATTTGGACTAATCCTGCTGCAAATCATAAATATTGGTGCGAAGAGTTATGCTAATCCCCCTTAGAAAACAAGACTCTATCAACCAAAACTTGTTGAAACACTCAGCAAAAGTCCTTCAATAAGCATCCCTAAAATTCACACGATCATTTTAATTAGCTAACTGCCTTCCATCTCTGGAGACAAAAACCATCTGTATTTAGATTAGATTTTGAAGGGCTTTTGTTTTCAGTGCTGGCAGTGCTCCTCTCCCCGCTGCTGCTTTGTGTTGAGTTGATGGTGGCAGCCGGGGGGAGTTTTTAAAGGTCAGTTTGCAGGCAGCACAAAAACTGCTGCTGTACGATGGACAGAAGCGTGGAGGAATCTGTCAACTGATCACTACATCGTCTGTCATTTACATTGCAGAAAAAAGACGTCTGCTTAACCCGAGAAATCAATACTTGGTGTAATTAAGAACTTAATTGATGTGGTTTCCGTCCATGTTGTTCCACACATACAGCAAGACAAAGATAGTTGATTGATGTGATGTGTTTAATGTCATAAAAGGTTTAACAATCCAAATCGTGACAAGTGAGGAAATTATTCAAGATGAATTCATGTCTGAAAAATGATTGTATGCGTTTTTGTCATCAAAATGATTTGGTTTCAGTAATATGCAATATATCAAATAAAATTTGCAGCTTGGTTTGTACATTTTCCTCAATGTTTGTTGGTGCTGCTTAAATAAATGACAACAGATGTGTAGCCAGGCAACGACATCAAGGGTACCACAGTCATTTGTTAGAACTGACATCAACATTTGACTGATGCTACAAAGACGGTTAAAACCATCTTAAATATTTAATCAGCACCACTCACATGTAATTGCATTACTCCTGTGGTTTAGTGAAGTAATTCCAGCGAGCTGACAGCCTGGTGTGAACAGCCAGCCCTCTAATGAAGCTCCTCTGACACAAGTATAAGGCCGTACTAAGTAATGCTGTAAACACGCTCCTATAAGAGGAAGGGATGGGTATGGAAATGCCTAATTGGGTTGTAAAGCTCCGAGAGCGAGAGATGTTTGGAGAAGTTATTAGTTTGATGAGCTGGCACGTTGAACAAGAGGCTGCTCTTTAGGGAGAGGCGAATCAAATGCGATGAGGCATTACTGCTGCAAGCATGAAACCATATGAAAACACAACAGACAGACCTAAGCATGAAACCCCTACTGACTGATTACATCAAGATAATTGTGTTTTGTATTTCAAAATCTGTTAAGGTACTTTTCCATGGCATATACAAAATATGGTACTGTATGGTATAATATAATTATAGTTATTGCAACCTCAAAACGTTATAGATTGTGAATAATGTAAAATTAATTCAATGATATTGAACGCAATGTTTTATAAATCACACCATGAGTGTAAAATGAAGGTAAAAAATAATAATTGAAGAGGAGATTTCTGATGCCGAATAAGCAAAGGATAAAAAGGGAACTGTAAAAATATCGATGATCACATTTCTGTACACTACACCGTCTATTATCCTAAGAGGCATGTTGTTAGGCGGCACGTGTGTTTTTTACGCACCAAAGTCAAGGGTTGGTAAGAGATGTGCAACTTTGTCCACAGGGTTCCTCTTTTAACTGTCGTCGTTTGAGACAAAAAAATTAAAACTTGAGCATTTTTCAAAATTGATTCAGAAAGAATGTTACACTTATAATCACCATGGCAACCCCAACTGTATCTCAGAGCTCACAGCTGATGGACATTTAAAAATCAACAGCTTCCCTCTTCTCTTTTTTTGTTCTCACACACACCTTAAGTTTATCATTTTAGCAGTTGGCAAGAAACAGACGACTGGTAGTGTAAGCAATGCAAACGAAATTGAACCATAAATGATTATTTGCAGCGATCCAGATGCAAAATCTTTTGGGAGTGAAAAGCCACCATACCAAAGGTATTTTTGAACAACGCTGTAAACCTGTTTGTATAAAAGCTTGCCAATGTAGTGAGTACAAGCAGTCTCCTTATTGTTGCGTTTTGCAACAGGGAGCGCGCAAAGACGCGCGCACTCGCAGCGAGAAGGAGAGGGAGCGCTCCAGCATCATCCTCCGAGCCCCACACACACCACTAATTTGGTGTCTGGTTTTTCTTGCGCTTCTGAGCTGCGTCCTCTGAATTCAACAGGTTCCCCTGCACTAACATCTACACTGTGATGGAGTTCTCCACTTTAACTCCCGAAGACTTTGGCGAGCGACAAGCGGTCTCAGGAACTCCTCGTGGTGTGACATTTGTGGAGGATCTCCTGCTTGTACCCTCGAAAGGCAACGAAACCAGCGGGGTCTCAGCCAGGAGCGCGACAAGTCTCATCATCGCCGTCTGCATCACGGCGCTCTACTCGCTCATCTGCGTGGTGGGACTGCTGGGGAACGTGCTCGTTATGTACGGAGTACTCAGGTGAGAGTCACATCCTGGAGACCCATCACTTATGAAAATAAGAGAAAACAGGCTGAAACAAAACGTGACTTTAATGTTTCTGTTGTTGTTTGTTGTTGTTGTTTCTGCCACATGTTGATGACTAAAAAAACAGCACAATTACGCACAGGTTAGGAGAAGGATGGTTCATGTTCTGAAAAAATATTTCAATAATTATTTTTGTTTGAATATAGAATTACCTGATATGCTTTGTACATTTTAAAGACTGCAGTAAGAAAATGTTTATTTGTGTTGTGTCTCTTGTCAGTGCCCACAGTTTCAGCATGACAGCCATCTTCCAAAACGGCCTCCCCCACACACACAAGGACACACACACCTCCCACACACAACAGAGACAGAGGGGAGGGAGGACCCTGTGATCTACCGCTTAACACTGAAATTACTCTGCAGTGCTAATTACTCCTGATGGAACTTGGTTGTAGTGTGTGACAAACGTGTGCTGAACCCTGTTGAGAAACATCGTGCCCTACCTTTTTATCGTGACTCTAATGATTTCCTTCATTTATTGCGGAACTAATAAAATCTGTAGTTAAGCAGCAGCATAATGAGTTAACTGATCACCACTTCAACTATTCGGTAGCTATCAATATGACGTGATTTGTTGGCCTCCAATAACACTGTAATCATACAAATCGAACATAAGATTTATTGCAATCACTCCCCGTTTAATCAGTTCCAATCAGAGAGATCCCAGCACTGCTTGTCATGCAATAAACCTTTTCATGGGGTGGTGTTAATTGGATGACAGACAAGATTGTTTTCCTTCATTGCTCATAAGGCTTATTTTCTGATGTCTGTTTTCCCAAAGTAGAGGAAACCACTGCGTATTAAATGGTATCAGCTTCTGTCTATAAAGTTTCAACAATCACACAACACTTGGCATTTAGTCAGAGAGAGGAAAATTTTAATTTAAAAACAAAGGGGGGGGGGGGGGCGTTGTAATTGACCCATTACTGAGAAATTTGGAGTGTCATGGGCTCATTGACTAATTTTGCTTGTGCTCAGAACTGAGTGTACTGGGGTAATGCATCTTAAATGTATTTTAATCAAATTGATTAATGATGACTGACAGGAAATGGCTGAGTGCAGGGAATTATTAGATCAAACTATAAATTCAGTTTTAATCTTGAAACCCAGTACTAGAAGCCATGACTGAAACGCAGAAGTCTTTCATCTGATTTCATGTGATTTCTCCCATCTAACACTTCTTCCCCTGTTGTGAGAGTGAGGGTCTAAACAAATGATTCTCTTTCTTTCCACTCCCCAGGTACACAAAGATGAAGACAGCCACCAACATTTACATCTTTAACCTGGCTCTGGCCGACGCTCTGGCCACCAGCACCCTCCCCTTTCAGAGTGCCAAATACCTGATGAGCACGTGGCCCTTCGGGGAGCTGCTGTGCAAAGTGGTCATCGGCATCGACTACTACAACATGTTCACCAGCATCTTCACGCTCACCATGATGAGCGTGGACCGCTACATCGCCGTGTGCCATCCTGTGAAGGCCCTGGACTTCCGCACGCCCGCTAAAGCCAAGCTAATCAACGTTTGCATCTGGATACTCGCATCTGCGGTCGGAGGGCCAGTTATGGTTATGGCTGTAACCAAGGTGACAGAGAAAGGTGGGTGGGTTTAATTGTTGCAGAAATAATGGTTGCAATCATCATCATCATTGATATCAATGCTGCTATCAGCCCCGGCTTTCTTTTGCACCTCAGTGGTTGGTGTTGATTTTATGTCATAATTGCACCGATTTTGAGCAGGGTTATTAAGTTAAATTCAATTCTAAAAAAGACCTCCAATTAAACCTCTAATTGCTTTAACTCCACAGGAAGCACCGCCTGCACACTCAGATTTCCTGAACCGGAATGGTACTGGGACACGGTGACAAAAATCTGTGTGTTCATTTTGGCCTTCGTGGTGCCTGTGCTTGTCATCACTGTCTGCTATGGACTGATGATCCTGAGGCTGAAGAGCGTCCGGCTCCTGTCCGGCTCCAAAGAGAAAGACAGGAACCTGCGCAGGATCACGCGCATGGTGCTGGTGGTGGTGGCCGCTTTCATTTTCTGCTGGACCCCGATTCACATCTTCATCATCGTCAAAACTATGGTGAACATTGATCACCAGAACCTCCTGGTGGTGGCTTGCTGGCATCTGTGCATAGCCCTGGGCTACATCAACAGCAGCCTCAACCCTCTGCTCTACGCCTTTTTCGATGAAAACTTCAAGAGGTGCTTCAGGGACTTCTGCCTGCCCCATCGCTCCCGCTCGGAGCAAAGCAGCTTTTCCAGAGCGCGCAACAGCACAAAGGAGCCCGCGTCCGTTTGTGCGTCTGCAGCAGCACGGAGAGCTCCTGCCTGACTAAGCGTGGACCAGTCAGAGAGGGGAACGGCACAAAACGAACCCCATTCTGAGGCCGTCACACTGTTCTCCACCACAGAGGTCTGAGTGGACAAAAGGTAGACTTCTGACTGGCAATTGTGAAACAGGTATTCATTTCAGTGTGATGAATGACAAGCCTGTGCGTGCCTGTGCTAAACCAAATGTAGACAAAAGAGTATTCTTGTGGTGTGCACAAAAGACTTATGATGAACACACATTCTGTGAAATCAAGATTATAGTGGAGAACTCTTCATTTAACACAATTTACTGCTCATTTTCACCTTTGACGTGTTTGTAGCTTCTCACATTCGTATTAGATCCAACCTGCTGCTTTAATGTTTAGAGCGGACGCACAAATAGAAACCAGGGTGTGTTTTCATAGCCAGGCTGTGGTAAATGTATCTCTGGCCTAAACTGAAATCTAAACCTAAATCTAAACCCACATACAGCAGAATATGTGTTTGTCTTGGTGAAAAAAAGTATGCTGCATAAATCTATGGCTGACAGGAGTGACTGATGTGATGAGTGAGCAGCGGGGAAGATGCCCCTCATAATGCTGCTTGAAGCTAAATGTCACGTAAATTGGTTTTATTTAAGCAGATACTGGCTGAAGATTACTTGTAGAGGAAACTGCGGGAGCATTTTACTGATAGCCTTCAAACTCCAAAGCCTCATATCTGACATCTACAAATAAAAACCCAATCTTCTGGCTGCACAGTCGCTTTTTCTGCGACTGTAAGAATGATGCTCTTTCAGATGAAATTACTTTCACATTATCAGGTGAATAACTTGGACCAGTTGCATTAGTAAGCAGCTGGGTTCCTCCCACACATAATAAAGCCAATGAGCACTTTTTGTCTGATCACTGGACACTTTCAGGAGGAGCTCTGGCCGTGAGGAAACCTTTCTGTTGTAAAATTGATGGCTCTAAATTTTCAGCTGCAGAAATGAAGCTTTGCCTGAGTAACCAAACGTTGTATATACTGTAACAATTGTAAATATAGTTCTTTAATTGTGTCCTGTGTGATATTCTGACTGCAATATCAGTGTTGTTGTGCTGTCAAGCTGCTACTCTACAAAGATACAATTGTGACCAGTCAGTAAAGATAAATATGACTAGTTAAAATGTATATTCAAAATATTGAATGAAAGGAAAATATCCCTAGCCTCCATCAGAATTATCTTTTTTTTTACTGCCACTGCTGTTGGAAATTCACCCTCTTTTGCTATGATTCCTTTTCCCATTGCCTTACAACATGAAACATGCTGATGTCCTTACAGATGGTTTTGTTACGCAAACGCAAATTATCATGAATTGTCCTAAAAGGTAAAACTTGCAGATCTGTCAGTATTTTTCTGTGTAGCACCATCCACAAGTCCCTCGATCCTTGCCTGAGACCCAGTTCCTGCTGCTTAAATTGCTCCTATAAACAGAAACACTCATCTCCACTGTGGAGCTTTCCAGCTCCCTCGGGGCTGGTGTAGGTCCTCTCTGAACAGCTTTATTGTGCTGTCATTCATTGTTTTCATTTTAGGATGATGGATTTATTGTAGCTCCATCAAATTGTGAAAGTTTCTGATATTAGTGATAAGTTCCATGGTCATCGTAGGTGCTCATAAGGATATCTAAACATAATTGAGGACAGATTCTGACATCTGTTGAAGTCCAAAACAACAACATAGACATTAAACATCAGCTTTTACATTGAGTTGTAAAATGACTTTAAAACCTAATACAGTTCAAGTTGTTAGTTGGCTTTTGTTTGTCTTTTACAAATTAACTTTTTTGTTGGGGTAAAAAGTGCTTGATGTTAAAATATTCTTCCTGCAAAATGTAAAACAAATATTACACGTGATTCTTTTCTTAAAGATATATTCCTCTGTCATAAAGAAAAGTTGAAACTGTGTCTTGTGATTTTATAGAATGTTAGGGAACATTGTTGATTCTGTATTATTTTTATGTTGTGGTTATAACTTATGCTCTTAACACTTGTAAACTGAAAGAGTTCCTTGTTTGATTAGGAATAATAGATACAGATTATTGATGAGGCTGGTGGAGATGAGTCTCAGTGTCCACTTATGGTCAGGCGTTCACAGCAATGGAATGTAGCTATATAATGTGCATGTGTAAATACAAACTAATAAATGAAAGCACAAACAGAAACCAGTCTCTGTAACTGAGATTTCAAACATGAGATGACATCGATTTGAAATATGACATTTACTAAACCACATGGATCTCTGTGGATTGACAGGGAAATTCATAGTTTCAGTTCACAGACGCAGAAATTACTACCATGGATGTTCAAGTGGTTTGAGGGAAATTTGATTATTTAATTATGACTTTTTTGCCATTATGGTTGATTAAGTATGTGTTCAAACTGTCATTATTTAATTTCTATCACACAACTTAAACTAAAGTATTCAGGCTGAATCTCTGACTGAGGGTTGTTGTGTCTGGGACTAAAAGCCTTGATTAGATGGCAATGCTAAGCTCATCACTCCCAGAATCTTATTAGTTTCGGGTTATATCACTCAGTTGATTGAAGGGAGAGTTATTCAGCCTAAATAATTCAAATCATGACTGAATTAATCCTTATTATTCAGAGGAGCCGTTTTTTTTAAATGCTACCGACACTTTCTAAAAGATCTGTGAAAATTCTCAGTCATCCAGGTCATGGTCAAGCTTGAAAAGTTCAACTTAGGCAACTGGACGTGCCTAACTTGAACTTTTCAAACTTCCCAAAAGAGTTTTAAATATGAAAGGCTACTGATTTAGAGAGTTCAGATACAAGCAAGCAAATACTCGGACTGACTAACCTGAAATCAGAGGTTTATCTGTCCGGGAAACTGAATTTCAGTTTCAAAATCATAGGTCAGTGGGGGTGATTTAGGGGTGGGCAGTTAGGGACACATACAGCGACTGCTGCTCATGCGATGAGGTGGACAACTACACAGTCAGAATTCCCCCCTGCTTCTCCAGATGGAAACGAGTGCGACAGCTTACATCTGTTGCCGAGGCACTGGCTGAGCCTCTGTACCTCTCTCTTGTATGTGTATAGTTGGGAATGTGTTTCTTTTTTGTCTCCCAGAAGACATTATAATTCCAATGTTCCAAGGATAACCATTATCAGATGTTGGCAGGACTTGGCTCCTGACCTGTTTTTTAAGCTCTGCAGGTATCTGAATATGGATTGGTTTTATTCAACAGAGGATACCGATCTTCCATTGCTGAAAATGAAAAATGCAGCAGATGCCTTGGCTCAGTTCACAGTGGACACACTGGCATATTGTAAATTAGACTTTATACAAAACACCTCATTTGTGGATAACAGTGCACACAACCTGTCAGATCTGAGTTAATGGCATGAAAACCAAAGCTGAATATGCAACACAAGAGAGATGATCATTATGTGCAGACTGGTACTGGCTTGCAGCTCCGCGTGGCAGATGCTCGCCAAATGAGAGATCAGACCATCAGACCTTCCCTGAAATACTGACAAAATGCCCGGAGAACAAAATGCTGTGAAGCAGATTTCTACAGCCCTTAGAACTGAGACAGGAGTCGATACGGGTGCCATCTGCCAGCAGTCAAGGCAGAGTGGGTGAAAATGACAGATTAATAGGAGGTGAACACTGAACATTATCTTCAACCTAGAAGAAAAGCTTGCCTTTCACCAAGGTAACATGTCTACTTTCAACTAAATAACCCACAACCCACTGTTTTGACAACAGTGGTCTATATATTCCTTCACGCGGTTCAGAGCTCACCTAATGCATCGGTAACCGTTTATATACCATGCAGAACGGCAGCAAACAGAAGGGGGGACAACACAAATTATGGGCTGCAGTGTGGAGAGTCCAAATTGTTATGTTTGATGTCTTCATGTCTTCACAGGAAGCCCGTTCTGTGGACTTTGGCTTGTAATTTATGTTTGAGGCTACCCTTGGTCACCTTTACACATCTTGGGAGGCCATAGAAGAAGCTTATACATCATGTCCAAAAGGTAGATCTCCACACAAAAAGTGACAAGCTGAGTTGGAAGAGAATGACTTGAAGGCTTCCTGCGTGTCTGTATGCATCAGACTTCCAGTTTGGTGCTCTATTTCATGGTAGCTCTTCAAAACATTTATACATTGAAAATTAATTTCTTCACTGAATTATGCTTCAGTTTATAGAATTCGAAATGAAATGCTATCAAAGCACTAGTGTAACTCAAAAGCTGCCAGTTGAAACCAACGCAGAGTTAACAGACACAAGATTTGCCAGGGCGCGGTTTTCTACAGCTCATGAAAGCATCCCATACACTCGCTCAACATGTGTAGTGGAACTCATATCTCAAAGGATGATTAATATGGCTCTCTGTTGTCAAAGGAAATGTGCAGCAGAGCAGGTGCCTTCTTCTTCTCCTCTGTGATTATTTTAATAAAAAGAAGATTAGAGCTCACACACATTATGACAAATCCCGTTTTACTGACTGAGAATGAAAGGAGGTAATCACAGGATGTCGTTGCCGTATTCCCTTCTAATTCTCTCTCTTTTTGATGGAAACATATTAGGTTTTTGAGAATTATTAGACTCTGAAAGCTCCGCATTCTGAAACGTTGATAAAAGCATCCACCCTTGACACCTGCTAGCGTCACAGCTCACTGCAGACACATTATGGCCCATCGTGTCTGCACAGAGAAAATATTCTTCTGGAAGAATTCCACGTTTCGGATTTGGGGAGCATGAATGGACTAACTTTTTCACCTTTAAACGCATTCAAGAGGTTTTGTGTGGCAAGGACAACTGTAGTCTACAGGACCATTGTTTTAGAATTGAAAAAAAAAAAATCCTCTCTAAATAAAAAAATAATTAAAAAAATTGGCAACCACTTATATTCCTGGCTGAATCGGTCTCTTTACAGCGGTACATGCTGCAAAAGAGAGCTGCAGGTCTGAAACGTCTGCCTCATATGAAACATTACAGATGAGGTCAGCCAGGTCATTTAATTCTTATGGACGCACACAATAAAAAGCTAAATAACAAAAAAGGTAAGTGGCTTGCTCAGACAATTAAGTACTTGGGAAAAATACTTGAACATGTCAGCTTTTTTTTTTTTATGAAGCCCTAATTCTCAGTCCATTTGGTCAGATAAAAAGAAGAGACCGACAAGGACCCCTGTGCATTTCACCCCCCACCCACAGGAAACAAAAGCACATCACTTGGATGCGCATAATCATATCATTTGCATCCTTAAGTGTTTCTGCTGATTTGCATTCATGGCTGGATGTCTGTGAAAAAAAAGCCCAGGGGCTCCATTCTAATGTAAAGGTGTCCACTTCAGCAGCATCAAATCTACTTGAAAATGATTCTACAGGCCGGTTACAGTTTTCTTTTAGGACTTTTTTACATTGTTGTTCAAACTGACTGGGTGGGGAGTGTCCCTGTCTAAAGCTTCCTTTAACAGCCTCCTAAAATCTCCTCAAAGGAGCTTTGGCTAGCTGTCTAATGTAAGAACATCTGATAGGAAGAAACAATAGACCAAAATATGAAAGGCTTACATAAACTCCAGCATAAAAACCTTGACATTAAATAAATTGACATTTAGCAAACAGATCCACTTTTATTAAATCTTTAACATTTTAAAGCAAATCACTAATTGAAGCACCGAGGAGAAGCTGTCCCCTTTTTACTGAAATGTTTGCCGTCGTTCTCATTATGCAGCAAATGCCTTTTAGAGGTTTCAAAAGAAGGATTTTGATTTATGAGAAAGGTCACGATGGGTGGCCACTGCACAGTGAATCAAAAAGCACTATTTCTCTCCCTCTGCCATTATGTTAATTGATAAACCGTCTTTCCACAACTCGAACCTAAAAAGGGTTCTAAACATCTGAGTTTTTAGATCAATCCTGTTACATGATCAAAGTCTAAAGATAAGATTTACTTCAAGATTATGTCAATCACAGCAGGAAGAGTTCACGTTACAAATCTGAGCTTTTAAGATGCAAGTTGCAAAAATACTAATGCTGTAATTGCACAGATGAGGCTTAATAAAGGGGGGTTAAACATCTTTATTTTCAGACTGGGAAATTGTACAGTATGTGTAACAAAATGTCTGAACAATCAGCAATTGTGTTTATGGAGTAAAATGAACAGTAGTGGCACATGTTAAACTCACAGAACCAATGTCCTGACTAAATCCAATTATTGCTTTAAAGAAAACATTTAAAAGACTATCGCTCAGGAAAGTTTTCATTTCCTTTATGTACATGCAGTCACATCCACAAGCATCCAAAATACTATGGTGCAGTCATTCAAATGACTTGGAGGAAAAGATTCAAAGGGACATCCAAAGCTAGATTTAAAAAAATAGTCTCTCATTGATCATGATCTATCAAAAACTTCCATGAACATTTCCCCAAAGTTAAGAACAGAAGAGTTCTCTTAAAAAAAAGAGGCCAAATTCTCAACCTGCACTCTGACATCTCCTTCTCGCTAGGCTCAGTGCAGGAAGTCTCTAACCACATCTCAGCATCCTGAACAAGGCCCCAACTTTGAAAAAGCCTGAAAGACTTCCCATCCTCCGGCCAGAGGCGGGCATCAGCTCTCCTGCTTGTCTTTGACCAGTAAGACTGTGTGCTGCCCTCCACTGGACACCATCAGAACTGCCCGGTTCTCCAGCTGTTTCCCGGTCATCTTCACAGGGCTCCACTCATCGTCTTCCTCTCCTGTGCCCAGCTGCAGGTTGGTCCCCATGCCCCATGCGTAGACCGCTCCTGGAGAGAGCAGGACGCGTTACTAACGGCAACCATCTCTACTCGTAAAACTTAAGTCATAACAGCTACAGAAACGATCGATCCGATCAGTCATGATTCAATGTTTGCACTTTACTTCCTTCCTGCACTTTACAAGCAACTGAAAGGCCCAGTAGCTCAAATCTATTAACTCTCTGCTGTCTTCTCTTGGACGCTCACCTTCTCTAGTCACTGCGTAGCTGACCGAGGCTCCACATGACACCCATCTGGCCGGCTCCATTCCCATCACAGACGTGGGCTCGCTCTTCTCCTCTGCTCCTTGGCCCAGACCCAGCCGGCCATACTCTGCTCTGCCCAGGCTGTATACCTGCCCTGAGCGACGAGTACAAAACACACACGGTCAGACCGTGTGATGGGAAAGCATCGGTTCCCTACTGGACATGCTGCTTACCTTCCGCATCGAGACAGATCGTGTGATGCTGTCCTCCAGAAAAATCCACCCAGGCCGTAGTGGAGTTCTTGAAGCACGTCAGCTTTACCGGGACAAAACACATCTTGGTGCTTTTAGTTCCTGGGTAGGTTATTTAGAAAAGAACAAAAGATTTCAGGGTCCAAACAATCACTTCATCCTGTCTGATGCAATCAGCCCAGAACAGAGTGTGATTCATTCATCCAGCTGAAAAGAGAACAGCGTCCCTAACAGTGCTAATTCACATTCTCTCTGATTGCCACAAACACGCTCCACTGACCCAGCTGGTGATAGTTTGAGAGGCCAAATCCATACACATGTCCTTCTTTTGAAACAGCAAAGGTGAAGTATGCCCCACAAAAGGCATCGGTGAAATGAATTTTCCCCCTGAGTTTCACTGTCTGGGGTACCAGCAGTCGATCTGAGATCACAGAAAAAAACAGAATATTGAAACAGATTTAGATGTGTGTAAGCAAACAGAAGCCACAGCACATACGCTTTATTGGTTCCCTTCAGGGAGAACAGGACAGCGTTACCTACCGAGACCTTTCCTGCCTCCGCGGTTAGAAAAATGCTCCGGCACTCGCCCCAGCTGGCCCTGCTCAGCAGAGCCCGATGTGTAAAGATTTCCATCCAGTGTTAACAATACCACATGGTCGTTACCTACAAACGAGGATGGAAATGAAACAAATGCAGGGATTAGTTAACTGGGTGAAGCATATAAACCTGTGGCAATGAGACAAACCGCAGCTTGCCTGAGGCAACTTTCACAACAGGCTCTGTAATGGGGAATTTCACTGGAGTGGGACACGTTTTCATGGGCTCCAGAAGACCGATGACACCGTTGTTATCCTAAAAAAAAGAAACAAATAAACAACTCTTTATAATGGGGACTATTCAGGACAGGAAAAAAGTAGGCCAAATAAACACAAGACACAAAGAAGGTTAAGAAGATGTCTGGATTTTCAGAAAGAATACATGGATATGAATTTAACTAAATATTCAACTTTAACGTAAACTACATTCACAGAATTTTGAGTATTTTACACTTTTGAAAATTAAATTAAGAAATAGTTCTAATAAGAAAGAATTATTTTAATAATTTTACTTTCTATAATCTTTACATCAATAAAGAATATAGGTAAATTAATTTAACTTGCATCATTGCTGCGCAAGTTAGTTTTAAAAAGATATTTTGGCAATCATTTACAATCCTGCAGGCTTCAGGCCCCCATCCCAAACCACTTCCCGTTTGCTAACTTGATAACAAAAAACACCAATAAATACGTTTTAACTTGTAGAAAACATTATTTCCTTCACAAGTTTTTATCAGAAAAAAAATAAATTGTTCACCAACCCTGAAGGAACCCCAGATATACACTGCTCCATCCTCTGTGAGAGCAGCTGTGTGGCTGTCCCCTGCAGACACCTGGACCACCTTCTCCTCCAGCGCCACCTTCCCAGGAGTCATTTCAGACCCCTCCTCAGACGTGTCCCGGCCAAGGGCCCCCTCATCGTTACAGCCAAAGGTGTAGACCTGAACACAGAGGACAGCTAACATGCATTGTCTGATCCTCCCCAACAGTAATAAGTCAAGCAGATGTTCTTACATTTCCACTTTCACTGAGGCACACTGTGTGCATGCCTCCTGCCGTCACTTGAACGATTTTCTCGGGGAGAGACACAAGAGCCGGTTTCTTCCTCTCGATGATATCCTCTCCCAAACCCAACTGTCCCACATCACCTTGACCCAAAACTAAAACCTGGCCCGCCTCCTTATGATGACTCCTGTGTGAAACTGACACACACATGCAGACAAAAATAGATTATTCCATACTTGGGATAGGATATTAAAGGCAAGCTTGATGGTACGATTTTGGAAAAAGATTTCTAAGCCCAAATTTCAAAGACATGACTCAGCAGAATGTATTAACAAGCAATTTTTTTTTATTGTTAAATGTGTCTCCCTATCATTTTAACCCCCCCAACAGTGCTGGTGTGATTGTTATTAGAATGGGTCAAAAACTTTGTGTAGTTGCTATCTATCTCTATCATCCCAATTTGTTGCTTTACTTTTCAGCTTCTTGGAGTCTTTAACATCGTCCACTACAGCTGCAGACTTCCTTTTGGTTGGTGGCTTTTTAGCAGGCATGACAGCACCTTAAAGACTGGGAAAAAAACAACATGTGAGTGGGCAGTTAATTTTTGCAACAATCATGGCTTATAATGATAGTAAAACAAGAGGTGGAGAGTTAATGATGAGAAGTGGCTACATGAAATTAACCTAAAAAGGTCAGGCAAGAACAAAGCTATCTTTATTTGGGTTAACAGCAAGTCACTGGGGTTCAACAACTGTTGGCGGGTCATTTCAGACACGAGCCCTGGGTCATGTTACTTCCCCCCACAAACAGCTGTTCTTGTACTTCTGTTCAAACACGGTACCAAGCCAACCTAAGGCTATGTACGACAACAATAATAACAATAAACAGTAATCCGGCTTAGTTCTTTCACACTCGCCAAATATGCTAAAAATACTGTCTCTCCAGCATGTGTCGAAAGAATTGAACATGAGCATTCGAACTTAGCTTTAAACGGCTGTTTAACTTTGGCTACGTGATCTAACGCTGCTGGCAGAACCCATGTGTCCTGGCTAACACCGAGATTAGGGTTGGATTCGTTGCTCAACGAGTTGAACACGGCCAAACACCAAGATATTTACGATAAAAAAGTAGAATCAAATACATTTTGTTACAACTTAAAAATGTTAGCAGTTGGTATTAAGATCTGCCAGTACCTGGCTATTTACTAGTTACTGCTAGCTAGCTACCTGTGTTAGCGTTGTATTTAGGAATGAATGGAAAACGATGAGAACTTACAACAACTACCCTGCACAAAATAAAAAAAGGCAGGCTTGTTGTTTGTCGTTTGCCTTATAAGAACGGTTCAGGGATATATCATTCACCAACCTGGTATTTGAAGAAACTTGTGGTTTGCGTAGAGGTGAACGTGCACCGCCTGTTCCCGGTCTTCAGACGTGCTGCACACGCGAGACGTCACGTTCTGCGGAGCTGGAGGAAGTCCCGCCCCCTTAAAGAGACAGCCGCCCAAAAGCGGAGATTTCTCTCTACGTAAAAGCCTCGAGAACCAATGGAGAAGCTAATGCGTTACTAGAAACTACAGTAGTTGCCACAACTTTGTTGGACTTGCATTAAACTTACAATGAACAAGCTGGAGAAGGTTTTTCCCCTTGTTGAATAATCAGCAAAGAACATTTAATAAGCCTGTTATAAAGAATAAACAATATATTTGTTTTATAAGCATACTAAATTTAAACTTGCCTAGTGCTGTTATACTTAAGTAAAAGGTAGACAATACAATACAACTTTGTTTATATGTGTGTGTGTATATATAGGCGGCACGGTGGTGTGGTGGTTAGCACTGTCGCCTCCCAGCAAGAGGGTTCTGGGTTCGAATCCCGGGGGAACCAGGACCTTTCTGGGTGGAGTTTGCATGTTCTCCCTGTGTCTGCGTGGGTTCTCTCCGGGTTCTCCGGCTTCCTCCCACAGTCCAAAAACCTGCATGTTAGGCTGATTGGAGCTTGGGGAAATTGCCCTTAGGAGTGAATGTGAGTGTGAGTGGTTGTTTGTCCTTGTATGTCCTGTGTGTGGCCCTGCGATGGACTGGCGGACTGTCCAGGGTTTACCCTGCCTCTCGCCCGTTGACCACTGGGATAGGCTCCAGTTCCCCCCGCGACCCCATGAGGGAATAAGCGGTATTGATAATGGATGGATGGATGGATGTGTATATATATATATATTATTTAAATTACATCTGTAAGATCTAAGGTTTGCTCCTAATCATGACTTTTTAACTTCTGGCCATCATCTAGTGTCAGTACTGTTTCCTAATCAATGACCGTTAATCTAATTATCAGATTTAAGCAAAGTCAAAGATTTTGCTGGATTTTTATTACCAACTGTATTTCAAGGTTCTCACACCAACACTTTTGACCCTCTCGTATGTTTTTACCTTCCTCCTGTTATGACAAAAACATAACCTGCCACAGGGTGATGCTGTGGATCCTTTTTTGTTCCAGCTTTGGAGGCTTCAGTTTAAATGGTGATACATGAAGCATCATGTAAACAGTGAAAAGAACAGGAATAACAAGGAAGATAAACAAGAGCCACACACAGCTTGATTTCACTGGAGGTTAAAGGAATTAAAGGATGTTTAATTAGATCCAGAAGTGACTATTTACAGATAAAAAGAAAACTGTCAGCTCATACATTTCCACATTCAATTAAAAATTAATTAATTAAGTTTTACAGAAACCGTACACTTTCATATTCCCATTCTTGTAGCATATAATCATAAACTGATATTCTGCACTTAAAAAAATAGCAACCTATAATACCTTTATAATTAAAATTTATTTTCAAACGAAAGGAAGACAAGATATACAGAAGCATCAGTTAAACCTTTAAACCTATATGAACCTGTACACGGCATAAGGGACCCTGTAATCTACTGGCCAGAAAACAAGACAAGATAAAATACTTCTGTAGGTTCAGAAGGCTTCAGCCAAAATGACTCCCTGTTGACCGTTTATACATATTCTGTTTGTTTTTTTTGATAAATCCCTGATCTACGCTCACAGCAACAAACATTTATCTCTTAGTATTGACACTTTAAGCATGACCTTATTCAAAATGGCTACACAATGCATTGCGTGTTCGATCTTTAAAGGGAAGTACAAAAACTCATAAAAAAGTATAAATGAAGAGAGATCATCCAGCTCCAATGGCACTGGATCCGGTGTTGGCTCATGCAGTGGCGTTGCAGAAAAAACGGCATCCTGTAGTAATTTGGGCATTGGTTTATGTTGGCACACGTGAAAAAAAAATAACAACAACCTCCTGACCTGCAGCTTCCTTTTTAAGTCGACTGACGCTTAACTGGCCACCTCACATCACAACCACAAATACGGGCAAAGCCAAGTAAAAAAAAAAAGAAAAAGGCTCAAATAAAAGCTGTCACTACTTGTGTGATCAAAGTTACAATATAAAATATCTTGTGCATTACAGAAGACCTTGCCTTTAGATCTGTCCCAGTCTCACTCTAAGGTATAATAGCATTGTGTACAGAATTAATAGAAAACACACTATCCCAGAGATGTCCAATCCAAAAGCAGAGTGTTCCAGTCTTCGACCTCCAGTCCATTTATGATGCAGCAGTTTATTTCTATTGTCTATTATTACTGTGTATTTATTATAGGTCATCGTTATCACCATTTGTACTGTTTGCTATTACATTAACAAGATGAGTTAGCATTTCCATATTACAGTGAAGATGAATAAAGGCAACACATAATGAGGCCGCATTAAAGGTTGTAACTAGATCGGAGTCCCTGAGGGGTTCCACACAGCAGCAGAGTGCGAATCAGCCCCGCACTGTAGGTCCTCTGCCACCTCTCCACCTAATTGGCACGTGGGTCCCCCTGTCGTCCAGGAGAAATACTGCATCTGGTCCTCGCCCACCATTACCACCACCTCAGTTCAGCAAAAGCAATGTGGGACGGCGATGGAGGGCAGGCGACAAGCATTCTGTTTCTGTTTAAGTTCCAGGTTTTCCCTTATAAACAGTTCCGAGCATTCAGGGAATGTTAAAAGGTGATCTGGTCTGCCTACGGGGCAGCTTCTTTTCACAGAGATCGTTAAGTGCTTCATTAACCGAGGGCATGGACGTTAAGGCCGATGAAACCTGAGAAACAAAAATATCTCATGAGGCATGAAAAGCTATTCAATATCCTTTAATTGCATGCAAACATGCTGTCATTTTTCTCATTTAATCTCACAAAGAGCGTCTTTACAGCTTACCTTTCACTCACCAAACATGACTGAGGTATCATTTAATATAAGTCAGGTTTGAATGCATCTGTACACCACCATTTTCAAGTGGGACATGGAAATCTAGAGAAATGTGTCCTTGGAATATCTCAGGGTCCAATGAAAACAGTTTAGAAACCTAAATATGTCTAAACTGATTGTAAATTGAAGTGAGGATTAAAGGCATACCTTGTGTAAATTCTGCTTTCTTCGTGAACTTCCATTTCAGTGCTCTTATAATCGTTGAGCTCCTTCCGAATGGCTGCCTAGATTAATCAACACTCACAGTTATAAGTCAACTTCAAAAGAAACACTCAAAAATCCCACTTAGCACTAAGATCATGTGAAAAGCGGTCCACGGCAGGAGCATTTGCTGGATAGTGGATTGCTAGATTTTTTTACATAAAGTAAGGACAGCTCTCAGACTGAAGTGAATACCTTATCAGCTGGAGTCAGCTTGGTCCAAGGCTTCTCTGCCCTCCTGTCATAGTCCTGGGCATCTGTGACTTCCACATACTCGTGGAAACGCAAGATTTTCCTGGCCTGTAGCTCTGCAACTGTGGGTCTTTGACTCAGCTACAAAAAAAGAGTTTACTTATTTATTGTTTCTTACAGGGACATAGCCAGTAAATAGTCAACATAGCATTTGGGTGCTTGTCGCTGTCCTCACCTTTCTGGTGAGCCGCCGCTTGATCTCCCGAACTTCGGCTTGTCTGTCAGCCTGATTTTTGGCTGAAGAAAGAACAAAGACGAGGGAGGAACAGTAGAGCTTAAATTAGACTTTGGCATGAAAGCTTGGTTTGATGTGCAGGAGAGGCAGAGTAAAAGAATGCGGTTTCCAAAATTAGACGCAATAGTGTTTTTCTTTGTGATAGCATAAAGAAAGCAAGAGTTAATACTGACGCTGAAGGATGTTTCTTTGTTCAAGTTCTTCCGCAGTGGGTCTCTGGCTAAGGCGCCTAAATGGAAGGGGGAAAAAAACGTGCCACTATTTTTACACAGTTTCATCATTATGTCAGTTACTTGGTAAGTGGGACATAGATCTGAGGAACCAAGCAACCAAGAAAAAGCATATGACAAACTGCTTTTTACCGTGAGAGTGCAGTGCCGATCTGCGTGCGGATGGCCTCCCACTGCTCTCTGCTCTGCCAGGTGAGGCCCGTCTGTCCTGGAGGCTGATCCTCTCTGCTCATCCTGTCCTGGGCGAACCTGTCCCGGTCAGGGGCGCACGGGCGGCTGCTCAGCTTCAGAGCCAGGGTGTCCTTCCGCCTCACCCTGCTGGCCAGCGCACCTGCAAGGCAGTCCGGGGCGAGAGGCGAGGCCATGAGCCAGATGTGAGGGGACGCCTGAGAGGATGGTTCAACCATTAAAGTGGTTATACGTACTCGGAGGGGGCTCGTCCTCCTCGTCTTCATCTGAGTCCTCCTCTTTATGAACTACAGGGCCGTCCGAGTCACTGTCCTCTCCATGCAAGTCCCGCTCTTCCTCCTCGTCATCTTCCTCTTCGTCTTCCTCCTCACTGCTATTACCCCCTGGGATGACACAAATTCCTGCATCTCCAATCAGGCACCGGCGACTCCGGGGCTCCAGCTCGGGCTGGGGGATCTCCCCGTCATACTCCTCCTCTTCCTCATCATCTTCTTCTTCCGAGTAGTCATCTTCAGATCTAACAGAAAGGGAATATAAGCAAGTAAATGAAAGAGCATTTGCAGTTGTTTATCCAATCTAAATGTGATTGTTAAATTATTACTAAATTAATACACAACAACCTGTCTTATACTAGTTTGGTCAAATAAAATGTATCAAAGTATAATCTGCCTTTTTATTTTTATTTTTTTTGTTAAAACATGGATGAAGTGCAGTGATGAATTAAAACATGCATAAAAATGAATAAATATGCAATATTGAGTTTTTATATAAATATCAAACACAAAACTCCATATTTGGTATAATTACTTTTTTTCTCCTATACAGCCTGAACCCTCTAAGATAAAGATGACAAACGCATCTCTCAGCATTTTTTCTTCGTCATCTACTTGTCCAGCTTATCTTTCCTTTAAGGACACATTGCACACGCTGCTCTGTTAGTTGGTACAGTTTGATGTCTGTCAAAGTGTCTGTTATTTTTCATAGAAAAGCGGTAGATACATGTCTCGTAAACAGGGAATGAGCAGACACAATGTTAGCTCATTCCTTCAGTCAGGTGAGTTTTTATGCTTGAATTCTTCATAGGTCAAGCATAAGTGGCTTAACAAACAAACAAAGAAAAAAAATCACATTCCTCTGAAAATGTTCACGAGTGTACTGAAAGTTTGTGAGAAAGCAGTCAAAGTCCAAAGAACCTTGGAAAGGCCTTCATAGAACCTGAAGAGCTATTTCTCAAGGCAGCTTTAGAAGATTACAACAAAGCCTGGCCACATATAAGAAACGAGGACTGGCTCAAAACGGTATGAACATCTCCATTTCTGCTCAGACTCATGGAAAGTTTATAAAGCTAGGAGGCTATTTATAGAAACATGATGATGGAGCGTGTGCAGGGGAAAAAAGATCTAATATATCTGCAGCTTTCCTGTTTGTGCAGCCTGGTTTTTGCTCACACTGATAAGCGATTCAATCTGATACACTGGCTTTTTTCAAATGTCCAAACTAGGTTTAAAAAAAAAAAAAAAAACCCAATAAACTCACAGTTTGAGTGGCTGGATGCTGACAGGCAGAGGCCGACCCCGATCTCCCTGGTACTCTGGAGGGGTTTCGAACAGCAGGGTATGGGCGCGCTGCAACCCGTCTGGATGGGGCTGGGCGGGCCCGGGACTGGACAGGGCTCGCTGGATCATGATGTGCAGCGGGACCGGGGCAGGGCGCTGCGGAGATTCATTTGTGGGGCTCGGCGGGTCGAACAACATTGGTATTGGTTGCGGCAGCGGGTGGGGGTAGGAGTGCTGATGGTGGAGGTGGTGCGTGTGTATGTGCTGACGGGGCGGAGAGGGTGGTCTGTGAGTTGGGAGAGGTGGCGAAGGAGGTGGAGGCGGCAGCTGGAAGCCAACAGGGAGGCTGCTGTGCTCCTCAAGAGAAGCAGGGGAGGGGCTGATGGGATGGCTCAAAGAACAGTCCTCTGTATTGCGTTTGGTCACTGGGGTGGTCCTCTTGGGAGGCATGGGAGGAGAGGGCTTGGCTGGAACAAGACTGGTACCCCCTGAGGCTTGGCTGAAGTCGCCTACTAATGGAAAGCAAACAAACAGAGAAAAAACAACTAATCCCAATGTCTTTAACAAAGCAGGACGACAGTAGCTGTGACAAGTGAGTGAGCTGCCAGCAAGTGCTTTGTTCCCAGTGCGATTTGTCAGTGTGACATGGGAGCACAGGCATCAGTCACATATGTACATTGTATCAAATGCGATACATGCACAAATAGTTGGATTACATGTTTGACTGAGCATTACTGCACATATACAGTGGAAGGGATCACATGGCTGAGCCAGAGATCCCTGACAGAGCAGAGTGCAGCATGCGCCCCGGGTCACAGAGACACACATACAGCTACATGCTCTTCACAGCCAGACTGTAACCCTGCCATCAAAGCATGGCTAATTCGCCTCATGTGGTGCAAAAGCTCCTGTACAAAGAGCTTAAGTGCTAATTTTCTACTTCCCTGCATGCACATTTATATATATGTGGTGTGTAGTCTTTAAAATCCTTTAGAATGTCTGTAAAGCGACACCAAAGCTAAAAGCATAGCCGTGCTTCGAACGAGCAATAAGAGAAGAGTGCTGACGGAATTACAACATGCAGTTGACTCCACAGTGGTGGAGTAAATCTTCCTTCCAACATGAATTCAAGCCCTTTCTCCACCCATTCATTTCCAACCATCCATCCACCTCTGAGCAGAATCTGCCAGTGTTAGTGCTATAAAAAGAGATGCAGTGGAGTTCACAGCTGGAACTCGCTGAAGGCTCTCCCTCCTTCTCATGTGCAGCTTTGAAAGCAGCCAACTGCACTCACACAGAAGACCCCTCTCAAACACACAAAGCCCGCTCATTGTACGCATGCGGCTCTTATGTCCCACATCCAGAGAAAAGCATCTGAGGCCAATCCACATGTTAAAGGCAGCAGGGGGGAGAAACATGGCGGCCAGCTGGAGAGGACGTGGAGCGATAACGCAGGCTCCGAGGGAGGCCTTACAGACACCCTGGTGCCCTGGTCAGATGGATACCAGGCACTTCCTTTTACCTGAGCGCAGGCCTCCAGCCCGCCGGCACAGGTAGACGGGCAGGGACAGGTAGACATCATAGTCGCACTCTCGCTTCCAGCAGGACCAGTAGAGAGGAAGCTGAGCGTTTTCTCCCCCCTGCAGGGCGGAGACTAACAGGGAGGAGACGCAAGCCGTCAACTGGAGTTTTTAATGAGCAGCTACATGAATTTACTGTGTAAACTGTTCATTAGATGATCATAAAGATAAGTGACGAGGGAAGTGACAAGGCTCTCTGTGAAAGCTCTCTTTAAATCCACCTACCGGCATCACTGCTAACACATTTGTGTCATATGCATAAAAATCTCAGCCCAAAAAAAAAAAAGGTTGACTCATTTTCTTCCATTATCTTTAAAAAAAAAAAAAGAAAAAAGAAAAAAGCGACCAGCCCAGAGAAACGCGGATGGTTGGTCACTTCAACTTCACTGACAGCCTCAGTAAACTGAGCATGTGGGACCAGACACGTCTGTTAAGATACTACAAACACAGGCAGACGGCTTTCCTCTAGTGGAAATGGAAGCAAGATCCCAGATGAGACTGACGCACGGTAAACAACGAGAGCCACTACTGAAGCAACGGCCCGCGGCCTCAAGAGTAACCTGCTGCAAATGTTGCTGCTGAGGTAGTTCAGGCATAATAAGTAACTAGCAGGGGAGAAGTTGCTCAAGCTGTTCACGGAACATCATTAGCAGGATTTCTGAACCAGTGTGTGTGCAGTTCTTGTGTCCAAGATTTGTCCTTTTCCATCAACTGTGCATTGACTTGGAAACCTACACCCTTCCTGTGGGAAAAACTACAAAGCGATTAAAAAAAACAAGCGAGCAGATGTTTAATTGTACATATCGCACATGTAGGCAGCATAGGATGAAGATTCTCCCCCTGTGCCATCCACTCAGAAGGACTTACCCAGCATGGCAGCATTGCCTCTGTTCACAGGTTTGGGTGGAGGCAGAGGGGGCTGCTTGGGTGTCTGCGAGGTGGAGGTCAGGGATGACGGCGGATTTTGCTGAGTGCTGGCACACGCAGATGACACGGAGCGAACAGGTTTTGTTGTCACAGCCGGAGAGGAGTATTGGCTCGTGGGGTGGTTGGACGGCGTCCGAGGCGAGCCCTCACTTCCAGGCTCAGGGGCGGAGCTGATAAGCCACTTTGGAGGCATAACCGACTGTTTGGGTGGCAGAGGTTCACGCAGGGTGTCCTGCAGGGACTCTGGGTCGGGCGCAAAATGGCTGTCTGACTCTGAAAACAGAGAATGGTCCAAATTGTTTGCAGCTGAACACATTGTTGTGCATGAAAACCTGTCAAACCCTGTAAAAATGACCACACAACTACAGGATTTCACATCTTTAACCCAACTGCATTCATTTTGAGTTGGAATGATTTCAATTAATTTACATAAAACAGGTGCGGGAACAGGAGAAAAGGGAGATCTCCTTGAGAAATCAAAAAGTAAGATTTATGGCAGAAAAAGCTAAACTCAAAAGTACTTGCACTGCAATACTAAAATTCTTCCTCATTTCCCATGATTGCAAAATGTTTGCTTTATCATAGAAGGCTGTGGTTAGGCTTCCGTTTACTTCTGAAGGCAAACTATTGGAAGGGAAGTTTTGCAAAGTCACAAAAAACAAAAGATGTGGACATGCGGAGATAAGGTCTATAGTTGTAATTAAGTGGCTGTTTGAAACCAAAAATTTTAGTAGGTTATGCAAAATAAAAGTAATTTAAACTATGAATAAATGATTAATTTGGTAGATGAGATATTACTGTAGTCTGTTATTTTTTTATCTTTTCCAGGCTGACGGGTTGGAAAAATTAACCTTCAATCTACAAACTGCAAATCAAGTTTCTTTCCATTAATATAATTTCCATTCAGCTTTTATTCTTCACATTTCCTGGGTTAAAAATAGCAATAGGAACATTGTTAGAGGCAAAGTAACATGCTGAAAAACATTGTAATTACTGATCATTCAAGTTTCCCCGGTTCTAAATGGAACTGTAACATCCAGCCTGAGGGTTCAGTCAGGGGCTGCATTGTATTTCAGCTGTGTAATTCTTGTTTAGAGACTTAAAAAGACTAAGGAAAAGTACCTTTTTAAATAGAAGTCAACCCGTGTGTTTCTTAATTTGGTATTATCAGCCTTCTACTAGAGCAGCAATTTAGAAATAGAAGGAAAAAGACAACAATTTGTACAGTGATTACTCACAAACTAAAAGTGGACTTGTGTGATAGCCAGACGCTAGATCATATTCATTAACACTACCTCATGAAAAACATAAAACACCTTCCAAATAGCTAAAAATGTTCCAGCTCAGGCTTCCTCTGCTGCGCCACCACTGGAAGCACTCACTTGTTTGAGAACGGCATTATCAAGGGATCAGCTGTTAGGATAAACAGTGTAGGTGGCTGCAATTACCACCAAAAACCCACGTCCCTCTGCCCACCCCCAGGCAGCCCCACGCTCCAGCAGCTCCCACACCATTCCTCAGAGCAGCAGCTCTGAAGCTCGGAGAGGAGGAATGTTTATTTACAGATGAACTTTTATCATGGTGACGTCATCAAACAATAGAGGAAATGATTCAGAGGAAAGCAGGAAGTGAGAGAGAAGCACAGGCAGGACAGAGAGAAAGAATGGCAGGACAGAGAACAGGAGATGGGATATACATAGAAAGAGTGGGAGCGAAAGCGGCATCCCAGAGAGAAGTAAAAAGGGAGGAATAAGTGGAGAAGGAAAACTAAAGGGAGATTCAATTTCTCTTTTTACTAATTTTTTACTATACACTTTCATTATAATTCAGATATCTAGTCATTCAATCAAATACAGATTTAAGCAACAAGGTGTCAATGATAACTGACTTATAACTGAAACTATAAGTTTAAAGCAGCACACTTATTTTCCAGTTTCCTAAAAGATTTTCAGAGCAATCTATTAGTTGACGCTCTTAACAATTATCACTGAGCTGAAAGTGTGAGCTTTGAGGGGCAACAAATGGGTGTAGTGATCGTGACACATTAATTAGAAGACGAGAAGAGAGGACGAGTTATTCCCTCATGCTCCTGAATAAAAAGCGGAGCTGGAGCAGGACTCCTGGGAGCGACAGGAGCCTGTCTATATCTGGGAGCACAGCACAGGAGCTTAGAAGTGACATCAGGAATGAAGGAGGAGAAAAAGAAAACACACACAGACTGAAAAACATGTTGAGGCTTTATGTGTGTATGAATGAGGTCAGGATTGAAGGTTGGTTGTCTCGCTGAGCCTTACCTCTGCGGGCTCTTCCCTCCTCTGCGGAGGCGTGTCGGGGAAGTGTGGGCTTCCAGTCTGCTTCGGCAGGCCGGCTCCTCCTGCCGTCTTCTGACGGGGCCTTCTGCAGCCCGGGCCGTTTTGGCCCGTCCTCAGGGTGAAGTCTGCCACCACGTCTGCCGTCCTCCATCTGGCCGTGAATTTGTCCCTGCCAGGCTAGATTGGATTTCCATTCGCCCTCTCCGTGTGCACGGGCCCCCATCCCTCCGCTTCTCCGCCCATCTTCGTGCGGGGCCATGCCCCTGGAGCCCAGAGCACCTCGGCGGTCCATGTCTGAGGGAGAGCGCCCTTTGCGGTCATCCGACTGGGAGAGCCAGGCAGGGTTCATCCTAAAGTCCGACTCTGAGGGGAGTGCGGCCTGGCCGCAGGGGCTCCGGCCGCTGCTGACTCCTCCTCCTCCTCCTCCTCCTCCTCCAACTGGCAGAGTGTGGCCGTTCTTCACATAGGATTGTTTCACATTTTGTGCATCTCCATCTGAAAAGGTTAGAAAAATGATCTGAGAAATCTAAAAAACATATTATAAAATCCGGCGAGGAAGATTTATTCCCCTATTCTAAATTCTAAATGTCATGAATTAAACACTTTCTAAGCTTCTCAAATGCCCAAACTTCCAAGCCTTTACCTTCTATACTTCTTGCAAAGAGATGTGGTTATGCATTTTTTAATCCTTTAATATTTTAAAAGCCAAAAATGACAGAAAAAAAAGGAAGACGCCATCAGCTCTGGCTCCACTGACAAATTAAGTGTGTTGCTATGATGAAGGAGCAGCTGTAGGTTTTAATAAATGGGCTTCCACAGCAGTGGGGCCCAACTCAAAGCCTGTACGCACCCCTCCCTGAGCCATTTTGCTGCTGGGCATTATTCGCTCTACTTTTCCCCAGCATGGGGAAGTGGCGTGTTGTCTTAAAGGGATACTGCATTGTTGGGAAAAATGGAAAGTAAATAAGCCTTTAAAAAAAATTTTTTTAAATCTCAGACACCTGCTGGACGATGTTCCTGCCACATCGCTCTAACGCCTAACCGCGGTGTGTGTGTGGGCGTGACGCCTCACAGCGTCACAGTGTGTCGCCGCTGTGGTGCACAGGCATCAGCGGCGGCACAGAGCTGGCCTTACCGTGGTCGGGGACCTCCTTCAGCAGCCCCTGCTCTATGAGCTCCTGTCGCGTGCGCCTGGTCGACATCTTTCTCTCCAGTTCTGATATCAACAAAAGCAGAATTGATGCTTTCCCCCCCCTTTTCTTACAGGCCATACAAATATTAGAAGTGCTAAAATGGATAGTAACACATGGCAGAAAAGAAGAAAACGAGGAATTTAGCTGAGTGTGACTGAGTGAAAGAAGGGCAGGCTCCTGCCCGCTCCACAAACGGTCAAATACGTTTACAACACAAACCTTCAGAAGTTTCCTTGAACTTCTCGCTGCTTTTCTTCTTCCTCCACTTCCAGGGTTTGAAGATCTTGCCAAGTGTCGAAAACTTGCCTTTGCGCTTTGGGGGAGGGGTGCTGTCCCCCGTGCTGCCCCCCTCTCCCACCATTGTGCTGTGGTGCTGCTCAGTTTCATCATCTAAAAGCAAGAACAGTACTTTGATATCTGCACAAGGGTTTTAAGGCACTGACATCTCTGCTGTATTAGGCTCTTTGCATCTTAAAAACAATGCCCTTGAAAATAAGAGCACTTTTCCATCAGCATGCGTCATAATTTCAGCAGGTTCCTGGTACATGGCGGCTGGTATTATCTTTAGCCGCCTGTTCTCGCAGACTGAGTGTGCTTTGGCAGGGTGATGCTGAGAGCTCATGGACTCCTCCACAGAGCCGCAGTTAACAGCAGAGGTCTGACACTGGCGTTCGGCCAGCCTTTCTCAGTGTCAAGTGCTCACATTCCTTTGCTGGATGGAGACTGGTGCCTTATCAGCCTTTCAGCTGCCTCTGTCGAGAAGAGGGGCACGCACACAGATGAAGTCGCGAGCAGCAGAAAAGGGCTGTCAGTCTGGATGCATATACACAGCTAACAGCCAGGAAGCGAGGGCTTTTTTTCCAAGAACGCTGATCATTACGAGATGCCACTGAGGCCTGAAGTACTCCATTAAATGGCATTCTGCAGCAACAGCTAAATATCCCGGGAGACATGACTGACAGGCCGACTGACAGAGTGCTGAGCGTGGAGAGAGGTTCGAACATTAGCTCTCTGTACAGGCTGCAGCTGCTGTATTCAGCAGACATAAGAATTGCCACTGGAAAGAGAACAGAGTCTGATTTAAAACATCCAGACTCCGCCACACACAGGATGTCTTGGCGTCAGCAGTGCCTGGCAGTCTGATTCCCACAACAATATGCTGTAGTTTACTGAGCAGGCCAACAAACAAAACAACGGAGCACAATAATGAAGATAATGTTAATCTTAGAAAAGGATTCTTCATTTGAGGCTATGACCCCTGAAGCTGGCAGGGTTTCAGTGTCTTATGAGGGGACCTGCTAACACAGGACTCCAGCCCATTTGTGCAGCTTACAAAAGATTCTAGAACCCTTACTCCATGCTGCTGGCAGAGACAAATTTGAACTGGAAGACTGTACAACCCAGACTGCAGGTTAATGTAACACAAATACAACAAGTCCTTTGACAAACAGACACCAATCTACCTGGAAGGGGGTTGTTAAGAGTCCAGCTTCCATAGCGGTGGGACCAGAAACAGCATGCCATGAGGAAACAGGAAACATTCAGCAACCTTCAAACCTCAGCTTTCCCTGTTTGTGTCCCCACTGTCAAATCACAGAGGAAGAAAATCCAGACGGCCAAGAAACTTCAAAAAACGGGGTCCGGGTGCGAGTCTCTACACCATGAAAATCCAGCTTATCTCAGGGAGGTAGAAATCTGAAGACTCAGACCAGCTGCCATAACATCCAGATTAGGCATTGCTTAAGGCAGCTTCTCTGTGATCCAGAACTGAGGTGCTCGCACTCAGCAGACTGCTCTGTCAGAAACGATACAGTGGCTCAGCCGAGGCAGTGAAGCAGGATAAGAGCTGGCGGTGCCAGGCCTGGAGACACACACGCGCACACAAAGCAATACAGAGATGAGGATCAGAGGACTCAGCCCCACGCAGCAGACATCCATTTGAGAGGGATGTCTGATCAGATCCTGAGAAGAAAAGTGAGGGTCAATCCATCCTTAGAAGGAAGGACAGAATGTTCAATCATCGCGCTCCAAAAGCCGTGGGTCCACTCCAAATTATTCCTCACAGATCTAGAGAAAACTCTCTGGCGTGTCATCGTCTCATCGCTGGTGAGGCTCAGTCTGTTGTGTGGTGGCACTACAGCTGTGGATATCTGTGTGATTGGGAATGGGAACAAAAAAGCTACAAAGGGAGAAAAAAGTACAGACGCTGATCTGATTAGGAGGGGGGTGGGGGGGCCGGGGGCCTGGAAATTCGGTCACACAATCAGGGTGGAGTGCAGCTTCCTCCCTGAAACAAAGACAGCCTCTTCCCCTCATGCTCAATAACACAGTCCACCACGGAGATCACAGGAACGCGGCGCTGCTGCTCAGTGTGGGGACACCAGTCACACTAGCAAACACTGATCAACCACTCATTCCAAACAGACCAAAACCAGAATTTCCCCGGTAGTCGGAGGCTCTGCTGTGAATAGCCATAACAGCCAGGACGCAAGGAGGCGTGTTATTGGTCCTCCGACACAGCCCTGCCTTTCCTGAAGCCACACCCACCAATCGCTAAAAAAATAAACCACATAACCATCTCACCTCCCGACTCATTCAGTCTGAGGAGACCTGCTCAGGAGTGCTTGTGGTTAAAGGAACCCTGATTTTACAAAGTCTGCAACAAAACCGGTGTCATCCTTACATATGGCCTCTGGTAGACAACTGTCTACCAGAATAATCTCCAACATGTGGAAATTCTGACGTGGAGGTCTTTTCACATCTTAAAAGCTTGTCCATTGGAAATAGAGGTAGTCTTGGCACTGAATTACGGATTCTCTTTGTTTTTCTTCCTGTGAGGTGACACAGCAGGGGGGACCTTTGTCACCACTTGTTTCTGACATCAACATGTGCATAGGAGGGAGGGAAATATCCGCCCCCAACAGCTCTGCAACAGTTGGGAAAATACCTCCAACCTCATTAGAATACTCCTATTTGCCAGGGCAGATTATGAAATTTAATCTACTCAATTGAGCACAGTGGTTATAATAGCCGTGACGGCTTCTTGTGGAGGCCCATGTTCTCCTAAATCATTTAGCAGTAACAGCAAGTCAAATAAATACTATTAGAGGACAGAGTTTCATTTTGCAACATACTGCTTTGTTCCACTAATTTACTGCTTGCTTCTGTGGTGAACCCATATATAACAACCTTTAATAATCAGTGGGATTCAAAATTATGCAAAGCAGCAATCCTGATCCAATTTCACGGAGACCCCCCCCCCCCCCCCTGTGTAATGTAAGAGAATGAGTTTGCAGGACATGCTTGAGTGTGTAAAAACAAAGTTGAAACTCATCCGCGTGATCCAAATGATTTAACATTCCATGTGGTCGTGAAAAGTGAGGGAGGGGGGCAGAAAGAGCGCAGACTGTGCAAAGTTGATTACACAATCTCGAGCTCTCCTCTCTCACACATGCTTTGAGTCTTGAAATGCTGTTAAAAGATCTGAACAGTTTTAAGCAACGCACGTTTGGCATGAAGGAAAAGCCTGAATATGTTAAGCACACCGAGTCTGCTTGAGTGAGTCCAGAAACTCACCGCCTTTGTTGTGTTGTGGGTCCTCAGCTGGGATCTCCACACGAAGGCTCTGTCCCATTATCCAGCCCCTGGGGGGGGCCTACCTGTCCTGCACCCACAAATGAGAGCCTTCCTTCTTTTAAAAAAAATAATTTACATGCTCTGGTTTCTCAGATCTTTTCTTCTTTTCTGTGTACTTGTTGTCTGCGATTGACTTCTGTCCTTCCCCCCGGTGCCTCCCTCTTACAATCTCCTTAAGACCATCCCTCCCTCCCCCCCTCCCTCCCTCCAGGAGCTGGACTCCTCTCTCCCCCTCGCCCAATAACACTCCCTCCTTGGCTCGCAGCACAGGTCAGCATTCACTGAAGGATGCCTACCATTCCTGGGAGAGAGACTAGTTATGTTTTCAATTTGATGTGTGCTGCGGTGTGTGGTGTGGTGTGTGGATCCAGCAGTACGCATGTAATGTAAAGAATGCTACAACTAAGGCAGCAAAAAAAGAAATCTGAAACCAAAAAAACAAAAAAGATACACTTGCAACTTCTGTTCTGGGACCATGATCTATGTCCATGAAACATGCAGACAGTGTGTATTGGCTTTGTGGGAACAAAAATGAGGAAGCGTGGAGAAGATAGCATTTCTAAAGGAATTAAGTAAAAAAACTTCCATTTGCCAGGTGTGACAGATGGATGGTTCAGAAATGTGGGAAGTTCAGTCAATGCCCTCGATGAGGGGGACTTTAAAGATCTTATTAAAGATCGGAGACATGACTTATTGTGTCAGATGGGTTTTTTGAGGACACAGGGCGCCCAGTATGAAGCTGGATGTGTGACAGTCAACAAGTCCATCAGATAATAGAAAGACCAGGTGATCAAATATGTGCTTCTGTTTTGGCTTTTACACAGAAGCATAAGACGGCGTTTACCATGCTGCTCATGTCCCTGGACACCATTTGATTTGATTTTTTTAAGTCTCTTATCACCATTTCAACAGACCTGGAGGCATTAGCATGACTTTGAAACTAAATTGGTCGAGGACAGAATTCCTGTTAGAGGCTTGAAAATAGAAAAGCGAAGGAAGCAAGAAAAAGAAGCCGTTCTCTAAACTAGAAAAAAGGAAGAAGTGCTGACAGGACCCCCTTGAATTAGTGCTTTAATTTCTTTTGAAGTTTGAATGTCTTCAGAAAAACTCATCCAACTGTGCCTCAGAGGAGTCCGGAGCACTGAGCTGTGTCATTATGCCTGCTTAGATCAGACTTTTCAGAGCGTTTGGCTGCATCTCGAGCTGCTTCTAAAGATGGAGAGCTAGTGTATTAGGGCAGCGTTCCTTTTCTCTCCCTGTGCCCCACATACAGACTCAACTCCAGGCTGGCTTCCAGAGAGAACTGAGCCAATCCACATGAGGCCAGAACCTGTTGGCCTGACCTGGATAGCAGACATCAGCAGGCAGGCAGACTGAGTCAGGTATGGACATATGTACAAATATTTACCAATATGAGCAACATGGAGTGAGTGTGAAACGTGCCAGAAAGGACAGTGCTCTAGAGCTCTGTGCCCTTTTCTGAGAGGTGTAGCTGTGTGGCCTTAAAAAAACACAGTGTGTCGTAATGGAGCAGCAGATCCCTAAAATAAACTAAGCTGAAACCAAAAAAGGAACATAGCTTTAGAAAAAGATAGCTTATAAACCTTTATGTGTAGAAAAAAACGACCAATACGAATGCAGATCTTATCCCTCTGTTTCTCAAAGGAATCTCTCAAATGAATGTTTATTATTTGGAGAAGGGAAAATAAGGAATTAGTATGAAATTCTATGGTTAAAATGTTGGAAACTTAAGACAGGTTGTTGGATACAACTTGGGAAGGAAATGCACCCTCTCATTTACCGAAACAACAATAATGCTGTGTTTAAAAACGCAACATGTATCTGCGCAGCCCATCAAAAAACAGGATGGTAAAAAATATATCAGATAACATAAAACAATGGAGTTACGATTTTATGATATTAAACCCTACATTTATGAGATTAACTATTATTTGATTCCGCTGCAACAACTCATGTCTCACCTTTAACCTCTTCTCATGTCATAATAAAATCTTGCCCTCTGAAAACCTACCACTGGTCTCCTTTACATCACAACATTGAAATCCCAGCAATCAATTTAGAGACTGAATGAAAACAAAACATTTGTTTACCTGCTCTTGCAATAGAACAAGAAAGTGTAAGTTCCTTTATTAATTCACCTCTGTCTGACGGAGGTAGATGAGGGCCACATCAGCGTGCGCTTACAGAAATGAGGCCGATATCAGAATCACCTGACTGAAACAGTGTTGCTGGTAAGTGTATTGGGGTTGGGTCTTCCACACAGGCCCTTGGCCTCTGTACTTGACTTGGTGGCCCTCACAGTGACGGATCAACTCTGAACCCCTCTATACTTATCCACCAATGAGAGAACCCAGTGAGGGGCAACAGTCTCGGTTTGTATGCCAGAGATTTAAAAATGCACTTCAGTGCCATCACAAATTAAAATAAAGCCATGGGAGATAACACAAAATCGTTTTCTACACATGAGGAAAATAGGCTACATGAGCCAAAGTTTTACAGCTGATGATTAAATTCATTAGGTGAAGCTTTGTTATTTATTCTTTAATCATCCATTTATTTTAAAAAAAGTAAAAAACATAGTCTGACCATAAAAGAGGGGCATATTATAATTTGTTCTTGGTTGGATCCAATTTGTACAAACACCACTGTCGTGACCTGGATCCCTTTATTTTTAGATTGTGACTGACAGACAGAGAAGGCCTGATAACCTGCTGCAGGTTTGGAGAAGTACAGGGCTCTATATCTGCCCAATGCAGACAAAAAGCCAAACATACACCTATGCATGTTTTTATTCATTTCAATGATTTATTTTCTAAATAACAGTTGTGTGGTTATCAAGTTAATAGTAGACTCTCTTTATAACTGAGGCAAAAAGTGAGCCCAGATAAGTGTATATCACAATTCTATGTTAAAATACACAAATATATATGTATATATATATATATATTTTTTTTTTTTTGCAAAATCAATGACGTCTAAAGTCAAATAAAGTCTTTGTCAAATCATTGATGGCCAGACATCAACTCCAAAATTTAATAAGAAAAAAAGAACAGCTAAAGACTTTCATTCTGAAGGTGCTACAGGAAGTGCAGAATGAAAGTCTTTGCTGACTGCTGAAGCACTTCCAACAAAGTTAGTCTTTATTTTGGGAAGATTAGTTTTTATATACAGGAACAGGTTTTTTGACTATGAATGAAAAACTGCCAGGGCACAATATCAACTTCCCTTTCCTGCACAGTTGCTGAAGTTATCAGAAAGGGAAGGGTGAGTGTTTCTACATGAACGCAGTAAACACAGGAAGATGGAAATCAACTCATTCTCATGCTCTGAAAGACAAAACTTGGAGAGAAAAAAATATATGTGAACTTGGCCTGACGCTCAGAAAAAGAACCTTGCTCACACAGAGCACAGAGATTTCAGTAAATCCTGGAAAATCCTGAAGAAGGGAGGGCAAATCCATTCTCAGTCAGGCTCTGACGGAGAGGATGTAAGGCTCCCGTCCTGAGCAGCTCATAAAATGTGGAGAATGTAGATGAAGCCCATAAATGCAGTGGATGCACAGCGAGACGGGAGGACCTCCAGCATTCTCCTCTGCACTTAACAAACCACGACCAGTAACTTGGTACTCACCACGATTTTCCATTACAGAGTTTGAGGCACGCCAATCAAAGGTTCCTGTAAAAACACCAGATTGAGAATCATTAGTCTGAATTTGAGTTTGAACTGTGCATTTCTTTTACCCAAATCTATTTAACATAAACATTCAACAAAATTCAGCTTAGAGAAAAAAACAAATTTGTCAAATTCAAATCAAAACCAAAAGCAGTACACATTCCATTTCCTCTCCTTAATTTACAGCTTATTACATTTAAATGACATTACTAGAAACTAACGTTTATAAATGTCCGCTCCGTTTGTAGATAAAATATGACACGTTTTCATCATCTCAAGAAGTCTGCATGCTTTGCAAATTTTTTGGTGAAAATGATTTTGTTCCCCTTTTTGATTAGAAAAAATGTTTTGGACTTTAACAGAATTAACTCTTTTTTTTCAACAATAAAAAGACCTACAGTGGAGAAAGTCATGGGTGGGGGTGGTTGAGGTCCTGGGCAGCCGTGTAGTTGTAATTTTCAAGTCTCCTGCATGCTGATGACGACGGCTCCACCTGCCACTGACAGAGGAAAGGAGAAACAATTACTCCACAGCTACCCCTAAACACAAAAGGTAGCCTGGTTGGGGTTCACAGGGCACCACAGATCCCCAGTCCAAAAAGAGCAGAGGTACATAACACAACCTGTTTGTGTCTCATACAATGCAAATAAAAACAAAAATGTCTAACATTTCAAATCCAGTCAGTCACTTGAGTTTACTGTGAGCTCAGACTGGAAACAGTAAATCACAATATAGCAATCTTTTCTATCCAAATCTATTCGTATTCTAAAATCAGTTCCCTCTAAAGGGCCTCAAACAGGCTTAAACTACCTCAAACCATTGAGTGAAATCATTTTTGTGCACATTAGCATGATTATTTTTTTATTTTTCTAGCTTAAATCATCTGAATCCTCACACAAAAAAAAACAGAACTGTGAGTCTGGCTGGTGATTTTCAGAAGCCTGAGTGGGGAATTCAGTCATTTCTCCTTTAGCAGGAGGTGCAGCCCGAGGGAGCAAAGTTCGACGTGGGTCAATAGCAGTTTTCAGCTTTGCCCCCTGTATGCAGATTTCACCAGATTCTCTCAATCTTTTAATGATATTATGCACCACTGAGGGAAATCCACAAATATTTTGCAGGATTACTTGGGACAACCTTCTATTTGAAAAGAAATCTGGACATTTTGGTTACATGACTTCATTTGGGAATGAGAATGTTTGATGTAATTTATTTTTCTGCATTGTTCAAAAGGGCAGATGGGAAGAAAAGACTATACAATTGAGTAGAAAGAATTTAATGGAACTTTGAGGACTGTTCAAGAGAGATGTGAGAGGCTCTCTGGAGCTAAATGTGCTGAGCGACGGCAGAAAGCTGCTTCAGTCAAGTACAAAGAACACAGAAGTAAACCGCCAGAACCGGCGACGGACGCAAGGGCCTTTCTGGACATAAGCTCAGATTTGTGGTTCCAACTGGGCATAACTCCATTCATATGTCATTAGACGTTTATACCGACCAAACGGAAAACTCGTTACGCCAGACCAACTGTGGAATTTACCTGAAGTGGTTGAGTTCTCAATCAAAGCATATACACAAACCAGTAACCTTGTGAACTGTGTGCCAAGGCTTCTGTGTCCATTAAACACCAGAGTTCTGGAAATTGAGTGACTCTTGTAGCACGCACTGGGGCTGCGTTGGCATGGAAACAACATCTTGCCAGTTCACTGACATTTCAGGAATTCATTAACTGATCGACACGAAGAAAATTTGCCGCTATCTTGGTCCAATTTGATTTGAACTTGACTGGTCCAAAGCTCTAAAACCTTTATGAGCATCTCATTTGGGCTTTTCTTCCTTCATACAAGCAAGTATAAAACCAGCACTGAATTTCCAAACACTGCAAAGACAGGAAGAACACAACAAAAACAAAAAGAAAATATTCTAAATCGATGCAAATTCAGCCTGAAGGACGGAACCTATCTCTTCCTCTTCTGAAAGTCTGTCGACATACTTATGCTTGCTCTCACTGCTCACCACCTCATCATTCCCAGTAACTCATCAGCTGAATACAGAGAGCCCGCTTTCCATACGGAGTGTGCGATATTCCCCCCGTCCACCACATGGCAACCCAGTCGCTGCTAGCTGGCTTTAAACTCGTTACTACCAATAAACTTGAAATGATAATGACCATTAAGTGGCAGGGTTAGACACCACAGGACCGGCACAGTCTCGCTTCTAATTCTCTGCAATGAGATGGCTGACATAGTGCGGATTCCCCTCAGACCCGAACCCTTAACAAGCTGCCGAATTCCTTCACTGTCTCTCTCCACATCGCAGTCACACGTCCTGCTGGCGGTTGGAGGCTGCTCCATATCTCCTTACACTTGAGTGAATTGCTGGTCCGACCAAGCTGCAGCCTAACTGTCAAGTAGGATAACGTTATTTCAGATACGAGGACAGGACAAATGTCTCAATAGATTCTGCTTCCAGCCTGATGGTTCTTTGACAAGTCCATCAATGTAACCGCCTCTGTTCTTCTTTCAGGTCGGATTACAGACAAGGTCAAAGATGAACTTCCCTGTCAAAAGGAGAAGAAAAGGCTGTACAAACAAAACAGAGAAGATCCCCAACACGGTTGGGATGAGGCAGATGTGCTCATGCTCTGATATGAGAAGAGTTTTCTCCGTCTTTTTTTACACTCCCGCCCAGTGCCCGCCACAGCTCTGGCTGGGTGACTCAAAATAGGCGAGCAGAGTTGTGAATGTTCTACAAAAGAGAAAATATCTCTGGAGCCTAAGACCAAGAGAAAGGCTTAAAGGCAGCGTGTGTGTGAGTGTGTGCGCGGGGGGGACCACAAATGAAACTTCTTTTTTAACAATTCAGTCTCCTATTATGCATATACCAACAGAAAAGGCTTCAAAAGACAAACAGATAGATTCTCTGATTAAATATTACTCTGCTATGCTTGCTTGTTTTTTCATTCAAGCTCATAGCCAGTAACAGAATGTGCCCATGAAAAAGGGATGTTGGTGTCCTAGTTCCATCTTCAGTCATTAACCCTATCGCTCCACTCAACGAGAGGAACAGATCAATGTGGAAGTCATGACGCGGTCCAAACTGAGCGCACCAGGTTCACCACATTCTCAGGGGACTGAGAGTCGCCACAAGTTGATTCTTTAAAATAAACAGATTGAAAAAGAGAGTCACAAACCAGTTCACGCCACCAGCTCGCAGTTAGAGCCGAATTATTCCGACAGGGCAGAGAAATTAGCCAAGCTCACCTCATAAATCACCAGTCATGCTACAATTGACTACAACTCTATAAAACCAGTGTGAAGCATCTTGTTGGTAAAACGTACGTCACCATCCGTCATGTGGGAGAGAAAAGCTGTGATTTAGATTCTTCCAAGCTCCAACACTGGTGGGAGGAAAAGGAGGCACCCGTCAGGTAAAGTAGCCGTTTCAGAGCCACTGAGAGGTCCGGACTGTGTAATCTTCAGCGGAGTGCACACACCCTCCCTGCCGCGTTCTACTAGCTCTGATTCAATTACGAAGGGAGCGGAAATGGCAGCAGCTGGCTGGGTTATGCCATCTTTAAATAGCAGATTGCTTCTCACTCCAGGGCTCGGCTTTTGGGCGCGAAAAGCCGCCAAGTCAGTGGAAGATGCTCATTAACTCTCTCTGCTAGAAGACTTATGTCTACTTGACGTGAGACGCTCTTCTAACAAACAAGAAAAAAAGAAAAAGTACAAAACTTAGCAAATCCCAGTAAATAACTGAGGGTAAGACTAGCCGAAGCATACTTACGGGCCCGCCAACCAATAGCATTAACGATACATTTGTAGGCCAAGAAAGGAATCCACTAGGTCAGAGCTGCAGTCCTTATCTGCAGAATGTGTGCGAGCACCAAAACGGATGGACGAGGGCGCATGTTCTCAATCCGGGCTGGGTGAGCGTCACCGCCGAGCCTGCCCCAGAAAAGCACCACTCACCACAGGGACCGGTGGCCCACTTTTACAAGGAGCCCAAAATGCTCCTCGCCTTTGCTAAACTTTTCCTTCTCGGTGTCCCTCCAACTTGCACGTAGACTGCACTGCGGGGGAGCAGAGGACGACATATGACCACAGAACGCCGGGCTGGAAGTTCACACATCACACGCAGCAAACATTAAAATGGCTCACGTGTGTTACTGTGTTACTTTACATTCAGAGGGCAGGCTGTCCATCTCTGCTTGTGGCTGCTGACTGAGGGAGGGCGGTGGAGGGGGGGTGGATTGGAGACATTTAGCAGAGAGCAATGAAGGAATCTCAAGCACACATCGGCCTCATCTGTGGTCTAACTGAATCAATCAGGCCCAGATGACAGCTTAACCATCATGGCTGCCTCTTAATGGACCATTTAAGAGAGGGCTTCCAATGGGAAGTGGGATGAGCAGCAACACAAGGCAGCACTTTTTTTTTTCTTTTTCTTGGAAGAGCAAATTAAGTTCAGGAGCTATTAAGCTACAGGAAGATGAAACCAGCGGAAATGCGCCTTGCTGCATAAGAGGAAAGGCGCCCGATCAATCCAGTGGCACAACTTTAGGAGGTATCAAATGTGACAAATGGCAGTTTCACACCATCAAAAATTCTAATAATGGTGAACCAAGCAATGAGAATCACAAATAGTAGCAGACCCTCTCCTATGCTTTTTTAAAAGAAGTGTGCTCACCTGTTCATGCACTGACGTTTGGAACATGCATAACTGACTGTGTGGTCCCTACAGCTATTTTCTGTCCTTGAAGGGGAAAAAAGAAAAAGCTCTGCTAGGTCCACAACAATCCGCGTCGAATTAACATCGACACAGCATTCCCAGACAGCAATTTCTACACTAGACCACGACAAGAGAGCCACAAAAGGGCAGTTCTCGGTGTAAAGATGATGGAGCAAGTGCATCACGTCTTCCATCTTTGCTTTAACAACCCCCCAATCAGGACTGAATGGAGCGCAGCTTTTTATTTGTATACCCCGAGAATAAACGCTCATTTCACAGTTGTGACTTCCTGAGGCAAAACCCAAATTACCTGAGCGGTTGACGCGGCTTTATCGTGGGGGGGAGAGCAACAATTTGGAACGCTGTAAGTCCCGGCAGACCGAGGAGAGGTGGCAGGGAGCCGCGCGTGCAGGATTCCAGCCCCGGCTCGCCTCGCGCTCTCTGTCCGCGAGCGGATCTCGCGCCGTTGGACCAGAGATGCTGCCGAGCGCGCGCGAGACCAGAGTGAAGCCGACTGAAACGATTCCAGACGCTTCCGGTCACACACTTCGAAACAAAACGACTGTCAGCGAAAGCACCCCGGTGACGTTGACGAGAAAAAACACCAAATACAAGCTAAATGCAGATTATTAGCTATTGTTTCAAACGTCTTAAGCTGCTGCTATTTAGTAACGAACGAAAAATAGTCCGAAAGTTGGCGTCGACGCGGCAGAATTTAACAACGTTGGAGCGACATACTTTACGAGCCAAATA